ACAAGTTGGACCATCTGTTTCCAGAAAGCCACAGCCTTGAAAACTCTATGGAGCAGTTCCACCCTGCACACATGGGGTCACCAGGGGTCAGAACTGACTCCACAGCAGCTACCAACAACAGCGATCAGGGTTGCAACAGCGTCATTCTTTATTTTTTTTAATCTTAAGAGCTTGTTTTACATTCGACGTTGTGTGTACATTTAGTTTCACTCCCTATTCACCTTGTCCAGCCCTAACCCAGTCTCCTCCCCTCCCTACCCTGTAACCCTCCCCCTGTGCCCCTCATATTTATGCACTCCTGCGTCCTGCATTTCCTCAGTTTGAATGTTGATCCTCTGGTGCCCTGTAGTCTATTATTCTAAGGGATGCATTACCATAGAATATGTGGGTGCGTCATCCTGAGTTGAGTGGTCTGCGTGTACATCTTGTTAACTGTTGGGCTGAAAGCCCGCCTCTGGAGGTACGTTTTATTCCAGGTGCAGAATGTATTCCAGGGCCATAGTTTGGGGGTCTCATCAGATTTCATCTGACCAGTAATTCTAGTCATTATTGAGTTTTTGGATTTTGTTCCATGTTTCTCCTCCCACTCTACCAGGATCTCCAGATTTGATCCTTTCCTGAGTGGTTGGCATTGGTAGCCGGGCACCATCATAGTTCTGGTCTTGAGGGCCATCATGTCCCGGGGCTGATTGCTTCCAAATGCCCTTGTTTTTGTTTTTTGTTTGTTTGTTTGTTTGTTTTCATTCTTCTTCACTTCTGATGCTAGGAGACCATTAGCTGCATCTTAGCCACTTGAAAGCTTTTAAGACCCCAGTCGCTACTCACCACTGTAGGATGTGGAGCAAGGCTTTTGTGTGTTTTGTTGTGCCAGTTCAGCCTGGTGTCCCCCAGTAGTATGGTCCTGAGACAGTCGATCTATTGGGTCTCTCTCCCATGGTGTCTGGGTGTCTGTGAGGGATTACTCTGTGTCTGTCTTCTATTGTTTCTGTGAGGATTGCAGGTAATTTTGTATCACTGGTGTCTGTGTAAGCTTAGCCTCAGCTGAATCTATCCTTGGTCTACAGTATACCTCTACTCACTGACTGCCGTCTGATCATCTCAGGTGTTTATGTGTTTATCTGTAGCCACAACAGTGTAACTCTTTGCAGCCCCTATGGCCGTCCCAGCAAAGGATGGGCCTGGCTCCCTCCCTCCAAGGTCTCTGGGGCTCTGACCAGCATCATGTCCTCAAGTCCTTGCCTCCCCTCCTCTCTGGAGATGGTTCTCCAATGTCTTAAGATTCTGTGATGGCAGTCCTTTGTGTGGGTTCAGAACTGTGAAGGTGAGTGCTCACCTGGACGCCAGGTACCTGTGTGGGGTGAGCGTGTGAGAAGCAAGGGCCTTACCGGCTTTTGTGTTTAGTAGCAGAAGCGGCAGCCGAGACGTCCCTGGAAGGCGGAAACATGGCACTGGCTATCTTCATTCCCGTCCTCATCATCTCCTTACTGCTGGGAGGAGCCTACATTTACATCACCAGGTGAGGGGCTGGGGGGATCTGGGGAGGTGTCACGACACACTCAGCCACTGGGATACTTGGGGACTGGGCATTTCACTTCTCTGGACCCTCAGAGTCTCCATCCAGAGCTTGGAGACTGGGTTTGAGGACACCAACAACAGACACAAACCACACACTCTAATGGTGCATGGAAGACAGCCAGAACGCTCCTTAGAAGCAAGAATGGCCAGACTTTGTCTCTTGTACTTTGGTCATGTTGCCAGAAAGGGCCAGTCTCTGGAAAAGGATATCATTCTTGGTCTAGTGGAGAGTCAACAAAGAAGGGGGAGACCCTCAATGACATGGATTGACACAGTGGCTGCCATGATGGACTCATGTATTTACATGAGTAAATACTTTGGTGAATAGTGACTGGGGTCTTAAAAGCTTACGAGTGGCCATCTAAGAACTATTGTTCTCTCTCCATCCGGAGCAAAAAAGAATGAGGAAAATCAAAGAAGCAAGGAAACAACTGATACAAAGGACTAAAAAAAACCAAACTCACTGCTGTCGAGTCAATTAAACTCATAGCAACCCCTCCTTGGGTTTCCAAGGCGGTATCTCTACGGAAGTAGATTGCCCAACCTTCCTTCTGAGGAGTGGCTGGTGGGTTTGAACCGCCAGCCTTCTGGTTAGCAGTCAAATGCCTTAGTCACTATGTCACCAGAGCTCCCCAAAGGATTAATGGACTATGTGAAACCCTGCATCTACGACCCTGAGACCAGAAGCACTAGATGGTTCCCAGCTACCATTGCTGACTGCTCTGAAAGAGATCACAATAAGAGGTCCCAGATAGAGTGGGGGAAACGTGGAAGAAAACTCAAAATCACACAAAAGACCAGGCTTACTGTACTGATGAAGACTGATGGAGCCCCCAAGCCTATGGCCCTTAGAGAGTCTTCAGGCCCGGAACAGAACCCACCCCCGTGGCTCAACTTTCAGGCCTATAAAATGAACACCAACAGCAGGGAGTTACACACTCCTTAGAAGAGCCAACTACGAGATCCAAAGGGGAGCCTTTGCCCAGGGGTAAAGCTAAGAAGTCAGGAAAGACAGGAAACAAGGCCCAGAGGAAATGATAACCACAGGGAGCAAGTGGGAAGAGTGGGGTCCCAATAAATATCACAAAACAAAATGTATATGAATTTTTGAGTGGAAAACCAATTTGCCCTGTAAAGTTTGACCCAAATCATAATTAAAAGTTAAATAAATAAAGTTGGCCAGAGAAACAGAGCTTTAGGGTAGGGGGGGGCAGTGGATTTTAAATAAAGTAAGCAGAGGAAGCCCCACTGAGAAGTGGCATGGGAGCAATGACTTGAAGGTGATAAAGGAGTAAATCATGCAGACATCTGGGAGAGGAGGGTTCCATGCACAGAGAACAGCATGTGCAAGGGCCCTGAGGCAGGCATGTGTGTAACATAATTGTCCCAGGTCTCATGGAGCTCACAGTCTAGTGGAGGGGAAGGCAATGGACAAATAAATTATAACATACTAAAATAAACACAGGAGCTCTGGCAGTGTAGTGCCTAAGGCACTTGACTCCTACCCACCAGCCACTCCTTGGAAGGAAGGTTGGGCAATCTACTTCTGTAGTGATACTGTCTCGGAAACCTAAGCAGGGGTCGCTATGAGTCAGATCTGACTCCACAGCACATAACAACAAAAAGATAAACACAATGAAAGAGAGACGATGTGTTGAGTACCAGGGGATCTGCCTTTAAATAGGGCAGTCAGGGAAGGCTGCCCTGAGGAGATGACAGAGCATATAGTTGTTGTTTTGTTGTTAGGTGCCATCGAGTTGACTCCAACTCATAGTGATCCTATGTACCACTGTCTGGTCCCGTGGCAGCCCCACAGTCCTTGCTATACCTGAGGCTGTCATTGCAGCCACTGTGTCAATCCATAGTAGGTGCTCAATAAATGCTCATTGTTGTCGCTATTGCACTAAAGGGAGATTTGAATCACCTTACAGGTGAAAATGAGTAAAGCTTCATCCTGTCTCCAATCAGGGGAAGGACTGAGGCATCCACCATCACCATCTGGGTTAGATGTTGAACAGTTAGGATTTCAGCTCTCCCCGCTCCTCGAATCCTCACCTGCCAGGCTGTCCCACACATCCTCCCTGTCATTAGCGGAGACAACAGTGCTCCGAAAGTGGCACCAGTCATTCCACCCAGTATTGGAACACGTCTCCCAGTCGGGGAGAAGTAACTCCTGTGTCTTGTCTTCTCTGCAGATGTCGCTATTACTCCAGCCTCCGGCTGCCCCTCATGTACTCACACCCCTACAGCCAGATCACGGTGGAGACGGAGTTTGACAACCCCATTTACGAGACAGGGGTGAGTGGTCCCTGTTCTCTCCCCGGTGCCTCCCCCCCTGTCTGCCCTGACTTGGCCGACCCTGAAACGCAGTCTCATTTCCTTTTGCTCATCCCCGTCAGAGACCCTTCCCAGGGGAGCACTGTTGTCCTTGTAAGTATCCAAGCTGATGATTCCTCTGGGAAGAAGGCACAGGGAGGAGAAGGGGCTGCACCAGGGCCCCGTGGAGAGACAACTGAGAAGGGTCGGAGCCCCCGGTGACCCGGTGGCCATGTGCAGTATTCTCACACATCTACTAGCTCCTGCAGAGTGGCAGTGTGTCACATTGCTACACATTTGGGTGGCAGGTCCTGGGAAACAAGAGTCGTGAACCAAATAGATATTGATCCTGCTGCTGAAGAGCTTACCTTGCAAAAGAGACAGACAATAATAATAAAGACCATGTGTTAGGCACTTCCAATGCATGTTGTTGGGTCAGCTCCAATTCACAGCAACCCCAAGGGGCAGAGGAGAACTGTCCAGTAAGGTTTTCTAGGCTGTACCCCTTATGGAAACAAATCAGCAGGTCTTTTCTCCTGCAGAGTCACTGGATGAGTTTGAACCCCCAACCTTTGGGTTAGCAGCCAAGTGCTTAACCATTGTACCACAGGAGCTCCTTTTAAATGGATTTCAAAAAAAAAAAAAAAAACTCACTGCCCTTGAGTCAATTCTGACTCAAACAAACACCAACCATCACTGGGTTTCCAAGGCAATAAATCTTTATGGAAGTAGATTGCCCAATCTTCCTTCCATGAAGCAGCCAGGTTTGAACTGCCAACCTTCTGGTTAGCAGTGAAATAACTCCTTGAATCCTCACAAATCTTTGTGATAGGTTTGATGGTTATCTCTCACAGACAGATGAGAACATTGAGATTCAGAGAGAAGAGGGAACGATTTGGCCAAGGTCACAGAGCTAATAAATGAAGATGGGCCCAGCATGCAAACTCAACCCCATGCCATTACCATCTCGTGCCTCCCAGTGAACCTCTAACAAATATGCCAGCGAATGTCTAGACTACAATGAGTTCTAATTTTTAAAGAAAATGAAATAAATGGACAAGGTGCTATGAGAGTGTATGACAGGGGACTCTTAGGGGCACAGGATTGGGGAAGGCATCTCTGAGAAAGTGACAGTAAAGGTGAACCATGTAAGGTGGACAGAAGTTAGATGATGGGCTGGAGACTGTGCTGGGAGGAAGGGAGAACACGTGCAAAGACCCAGAGGCACGTGGGGGGACTGACGGGCTGGCCATGACTCTGCACAAGCACAGTCCTTCAATTCACTGTGCAATGATGTGCAATCACCTTCCAGTATCTGTGGGACATAAACCCCACTTGCTCCTTGTCTCCACTAACTTCCCCTCACCTCCTCTGGCCTCCTTTGTAAAGTACAAATTTAGAGACTTAAAATAACACACTTATTATTTCATGCTTTAGGACTCAGGAGGCTGAAAACAAAGTGTCATCTAGGGCTGTGGTCTCATCTGAGGCTCAACTGGGGAGGGTCCACTTCCAAGCTCATGTGGTTGACAGCATTCAGTCCCTTGCAGGCTATTGGACTGAGGGCCTTGGTTTCTCACTACCTGTCATCAAGAGGCCACCCTCACTTCCTTGTCATGTGTCCCTCTCCATACAGCAGCACACAGCATGGCAGCTGGCTTCTTCAAGGCCAGGAAGGGAGAGAGTCTCCTCTCAAGACAGAGGCACAATTCTCTGTAATCACGGGAGTGACATTCCATCACATTTGCATTTTCTATTGGTCAGAAGCAAGTCACAAGTTCTGCTTAAGGGAAAGGAATCTCTCAAGGGTGTAACCACCAGGAGGTGGGAATCACGGGGGGTACTCTAGGGTCTGCTTGCCACACTCTATTCCTCCCTGGGACACAGATGCACTGCTTACCTGTGCTGGCCCAGCATGGACTGCGTTGCTATTGTGGTTGTTAGCTGCCACCACCAACTCATGAGAACCCTACGGACAACAGAATGAGACACTGCCCAGTCCAGCACCACTCCACTATCAGCACACTCAAGTCCGTTGCTGGAGCCTCCGTGTATTCTGAGTCCCTTCCACCCAGGGGGCTCATCTTCCAGGGTTACACTGAAAAATACCTTGTTGTGATCCACAGGGTTTTACTGGCTGCTTTTTGGCAGTAGAGCACCAGGCCTTTCTTCCTGGTCTGTCTTAGTCTGGAAGCTATGCTCCAACCTGTCCATCACGGGTGACCCTGCTGGCATCCGACAGACTGGTGGCAGAGCTTCCAGCCTCAGGGCGACATGCACCAGACTGGCAGATCCGTGGTGGACTGACATGCGGGCTACCTTCCAGCTTCTGTAGAACTGACACTCCTCAATTCCTTGGCAACCTCCACATGGCATCCCTCTTTCCCGTTTGTGCTTCCTTGTCTCTGTGTCTGTGCTGCTCCTTATTACTCAGAAGTAATTAGATTGAGGACATACCTGACACACCGATATGGCCTCATCAACATAACAAAGAAACACCTATTTCCAAATAGAGTTACATCCACGTGTATAAAACCAATAAACCAAACGAGCTGCAGTCAACGCATGCGGGCCCCACTTGTGCCCAAGTAAAACTATGCCCCATGGGGTTTCCCTGGCAGGTTACCAGGCCTTTCTCCCAAGATGCCTCTGGGTTGGCTCGAACCAGCAATCTTTTGATTAGTAGCCAACTGCTTAACCAGTTGGACCATCCAGGGAGCTCATCCACCTGTATAGGGGTTAAGATTCCAAGATATATGTTGAGGGGCACAAGTCAATCCCTAACACAGCAGCAGGACATTAAGACACAGCCCACTGAGGAAAGCAAGCCAGGGCACTGCAAAGTCGCACGGCCAAGGGTGTGGATGCAGACAGAGGGACAAAGGACCCGAGCCCTTAACCATCATGCTACCACTACCCCCAAAGGCTTAAGGAATCTGTGTTTCTCTCTCTCATAGGAAACCAGAGAGTATGAAGTCTCCATCTGATGAAAGCTGCACCTGTGAAGGGAATTTACATGAACTCAACTACAACCTCCTCAAGACATCCATCCAGAGACCACGTGGCATTTGAGTGAACCCCTAGAGCGTCGGCTGTCTTTTCTTTAGACTCTTTACTGAAGACTTACTGTTTTCTTCACTGTATTTATTATATTTAAAGTGGAAATAGGTGCGGTTGGAAGTATTGGGGCTGCAGCCAGGTTCCCGTGATGGCCTCAATTCTGAAGGCAGGTGAACGAGTCTGCAAAACGGCAAATCCAGCAGCAGCAAACCAGGCGGATCTTCTCCAGTCAGCAGTGCCCGGCGAAGGCTGCACCTAAGCGCACACACCTTTGGGATCCATGCCCCTGGCATTTTCAGTACAAACCCAAGTTCCAAGATTAGAAACCCCTGGGTGGTGCAAATGGCTGACACGTTCAGCTGCTAATCAAAAGGCTGGCGGTTCAAGTCCACCTAGAGCACCTCAGCAGAAAGGCGTGGTGATCTCCTTCCAAAAAAATCAGCCATTGAAGATCCCATGGAGCAGTTCTACTGATGCATATGGGGTCACCATGAGTTGGGGTCAACTTGATGGCAACTGGTTTGGTGTTTTGGGCAAGTCGCAAGATCAGGTTCTTGTCGGGTTAAGTTGGGTTGGAATTTAGCATGGGTACTTAAGCAAGTCGGCTCCAAAGTAGATTCTATATCCTCTTTTCTACATGTTCCACCTTCTAGAAGGTCTTGCCACCTCCCTGCCATTCCATAGGCTTTCTGAAGGTCACAAAAGTGTGAAAGGAACATCTTCTTCTATCACCCTGGGCTCCCTGGATGCTGGCAAACTAAGGCAATGTTTTCTTTTGACAAAAAGGTGATAAATAACAAAGGAAAATTGTCAGAGAGGATGAGGGATTTGAGCATTGCAGTGAAGAATTGGGTGAGGGTGAAGTTGGGTGAGGGAACTGAGCTAATAAAATGTTCCTTTCTTCCATGCTCTTTTGATGATGGAAGAGCAGGTAATTTACATGAGTGTGTTAGGAGCAACCAGGTGAGTGCCATGTCCTGCAGCCCAGGGGGAGCTCTGCATTTCTCTGGGGTGCTGGAATGCCTTCACCTCCAAACTGGGGAGACCCAAGGGCACTGTTTCTCTAGAAGGCATCGCCTTCAGAATTAACTTGCAATCAACTATTAATCAACTATTCAGGGGAAGGGGGTACTTCTGAGAAGAAATGCCTTTACCATTCTCTGCAACTCTGTCCAGACTTTGGAAGGGAATGCTGACAATGGAAACACAACAGGAGCAAGGTAGTAAAACCACAGAGAAGAATCCGTATCATACAGTCTGAGTTTTAATAAGAGAAGAAGGAGAACTCTCAGCCAGGAGGGACTTTCTAGCGCCATGTCTAATGACATGAGCATCCTCATATACTTCATCAGGGCCCTCTCACCCCCACCCAGTGTGTGACTCTGAGAGATGCTCTCTTAAATACACGTAGATGCTGTATTTAAGATGCTACTACTTGTGGGTGCAAGAAGGGTACAGGACCCATGAAGCCAACTCACCTCCTGGGACCACGTGGTGATAACCCGTGTCCCAGAGAGATACACCACCAGCTCAGTAGCTCTGGAGTCCTCTTGGGCACCCTCCCACTCTAAGATTGCTTTAAAATCCACTGAGTTTCAAACAATTTCTTTCTGGTCACGATACTATTGGGAGCAGGACTGGGCATCCATATTGGATAGCTGTATAGAAAATGCCTTCTTGAGCAAGATGGGGCAGTGGACTTCACACACACACACACGCGCGTGCGCACACACACATCCTCTGTGAGCAGGGATCGCAATCTTGGGGCTCTCTGAGATGGGGATTCCTTCCTTCTACCCATGTTCTACATGTTCCTCAAGGTGTGCGTTCATGGAGCACGGCAAGAGATAACACCCAAAGCCCACCCCATTTTATAAAAGAGCCAGAGGAGAAATGGTGCAGACCAGTCAGGAGCCATGTCATGTTTAGAGAAAGACCAGTAAAAAAAATCATGTAGCCTTTTTTTTAAAAGACAGAAGCCAATCCTTGCTTTAATTTCTGTTGGATGCTTACTCTAACCCTAACCCTGAGTCATCTGGAATGAAGAGTTCTATTAATTATATCTGACTTTAGAGCACACAGTGATTACATGACAACGAAACATCTAACTCTTGTAAAGACTGACAAAATAGGAAATCTTCATTCTAACCCTGCTCCCTGAAACCAGCTAGGCCATGGCCCAGGTATTCTTACTGGAGAGACAGAAAAGGAGTTGATTCCCCCCCCCCCCCCCCGCCCCAGGATACCAATGTCTTGTTTCTTCTGTCTTAGTAGTGCAGCACCTGTAACCATGCCAATGTCTTAAAAGTTTGTTTTAGCCTAGGGACGGATCACGCGGGCTCAACCATGTACAGTGTGATTGAAAAGACAGGTTGGTGTCTGTTTTTCTTTTTCAAATACCTGAATGTGCATTTGTAATATGTAAAAGGTAACAAACAAACAAAAATCATAGTAGTGCCAAAAAAATGTACCAGGCATCTCATTTCAATTCCTATATATCTGTTTTTATAAGATCAAGATTAAAAACCGTTGGGATTAAATATTTTTGAACAGGATACACTCTTGAGAAACTCAAGAATGGACTGAATCTTCCTACAAGCCACTCTTTGTTTTTAAAACTGCGGGGGATACGTTTACAGAGATTGTGAGCTTCAGAGACTGCATGTGATACAACCCGTACTACATGCTAATACACACAGGCTGGATCTGTCAGCTAGGCCCTGTCTTGAAAAATGCACACACTCCACCCTCTTCAGCTTGGAGCACATCCTTTTGCTTTCCTTTGAGTAGAATTATTTAGCCAACATCAGGATTCTGATTGCTATTTGATGGCTTCCTTGTTTAGTTCCAGAGACATGCTTTCAATATGACCTTTTGAAGGCACCTCCTTGGAGAACCTACGAAGCAACAGGCTCATAGCTTTGGAATATGCCCAACAGCCCGGCAGGAAGTCAAGCAGCTACGTAATCAGGGTGGTTATGGAAGAAGAGATGATGCAGCAAACTCAGACCTGGCAGACGTAGGTGGAGGTACGAGCCTTGGGCAAACATGATCTTCCCTTGGGGTAATTCCCAAGGTGTGACTTTCCTATGCCCTTGAGTAAGTATGGTGGGTCATTGAAGGTTAGAGACCATTGAGGTGTTCAGCACCCCCAAAGCTAGGCTTTTCTCCTAGGAGATTTTCATTTTCATTTTATCCCCCCACAAAAGAAAAACAAAACAAACTTTCTAAGCTAGAATAATGAAATGAAATCATTTTCCACTTTGTATATATTGATGCTAATAAAAATGAAAAACAGTCTAATCTGTGAGGTTTTTGTTACCGATATTCCAAGATGATACTAACTGGGATAGTTCCAGGGTTTGAGTTGGGATAACACCTACAGACACTTTGAATTCCAAGAAAGGACTAGGGAATCTGGAACTGGTCTGGGGACATGTGAGGAATGCTGGGATCAAGACAGAGCTAAGGGGACTGTTGTCATCAGACACATTGTCATCCTCCCAATAGTCCTGTAAACACAAGGGGGCCACTCCAAGGAGCATATGAGCTGTGATGTCCACTCTGAAGTTTTGCATAACTGTTATTTCTCAACGGGTAATGAAGGGATATTTTCACACCTCTTAGGATATAGCCATATTTGAATTAACCTATACCGCCTTGAAACCCAAAGGGGGTCACTATGAGTCGGAGCTAACTTGATGGCAGTACATTTGGTTTTCTCGTTTTATGAACAAGATAATAAACACAGGAAGCATAAAGGGAAGATGGAAGAAGTACAAAGAGCCACTGTACCAAAAAGAACTGGTGGTTGTCAACCATTTCAGGAGGCAGCGTATGACCAAGAACCTACGGTACTGACTGAGAAGAGAGTGACAAACTCCACCAAGTCCCTCTACAACAAAGACCTGAGAAGCCAGGTGAAACAGATGATAATCCTGGAACTCTGAGCACCAAATGAAATGATAAAGAATTGGAAGACACACATACATACATACACACTACCCAAAGCAATATATGGGAGCTCTGGTAGCATAGTGGCTAAGGCACTTGACTGCTAATCAGAAGGCTGGCGGTTCAAACCC